ACACACCCATCATCCAGCACTCACACATACATCATCCAGCACACACACATCATCCAGCACTCACACACACATCATCCAGCACTCACACACACACACACACGTCATCCAGCGCGCGCACACACATCATCCAGCACACGCACACACTGCATTCATTATACACACTCTTCACTCACTACAAACACACTACATTCACTATACACCCTCTGCATTCACTATACACACTCTGCATTCATTATAAACATTCTGCACGCACTACACACTACATTCACTATACACACTCTGCATTCACTACAAACACACTACACACACTGCATTCATTGTACACACTCTGCACTCACTACAAACACACTAAATTCATTATACACAATTAATTTGCACTTACTACAAACACACTACATTCATTATACACACTCTGCACTCACTTCAAAAACACTGCATTCACTATACACACTGCACTCACTACAAACACTACATTTATTATACACACTGCACTCACTACAAATACACTACATTTATTATACACACTGCACTCACTACAAATACACTACATTCATTATACACACTCTGCACTCACTAAAACACACTGCATTCATTATACACACTCTGCACTCACTACAAATACACTACAATTATTATTCACACTGCACTCACTACAAACACACTACATTTATTATTCATACTCTGCATTCACTATAAACACACTACATTCATTATACACACCCTGCACTGCACTATATGCATAGGAGTGTAATTTTTTTTTTTTTTAAGGGGTGGATGGGGGGAATCTTGGGTGAGTTCCCACACTTTTTTCCCCAGGACTTGACCCCTGGATCCTCTACAATAACACATAACACATCCCCTACACACTCCACTCCCTGTGAGCGAACTCATGGGTGGGTGGAACTTATGAGTGGGCCTTATGGGCATACTCACCGTCAGGCCCTGGGGCCCAGACCTTGAGCCGTGTAAGGGGCCCCAAAAAAATTGAGCTGCTTCCAATTCTCCCAGAACATTGAATTTTGTGACCACAGTTGCAAACAGCCTCCAGAGATCGTGTTCTACACCAGACCAGTGGAGCCAAACTGCAGCCCATCATCATCCTCATCTGCTTGTAAGTAGGCAATCTAGTATATTATTAGTGACACTAATCTATAATTTACCTCACATTAAAGGGACACTATAGCTTAATGAAGTGGTTCTGGTGTCTATAGCTGGTCCCTGCAGGCTTTTTTAATGTAAACACACACTGTGTGCAGCACTGGCGTTAGTTCATATGGCAGATCATATGGGTGGGGCATTGTGATGTGACATGTGGGGGCAGCAAATTTTTATTTTGTCTAGGGCGGCAAAAATCCTTGCAGGGAGGGAGCTGCATGAGCTGCGCTGGCTCTGCTCCCCAGCACGCAGCTGAATGAGACCGGCGCCGGAATAGGACGCCGCTATTCGCCAGTCTCATTCAGTGCTAGCTGCCAGGGCGGAGGTACCAACACAGGAAGCACCTCGACCGCCTGGAGAGTGACTGTCACTAGCAGTGTCACTAATGTAAACCGCCTTTGTCTGAAAAGTCAGTGTTTACGCTTGAAAAGCTCAGAAATAATATGCTATAGACACCAGTACCACCACATTGTTAAAAGGCCTGCTAGTGAGTGAGCTTGCTTGCATGCGCAGTCATAGTGAGTGAGCTTGTGTTTTATGTCAATGAGCTGATATATCAGTAAGATTGTTTGTCTATGAGGCTGTGTATCAATGAGCTTGTGTGTGTCACTGAAATGTCAGTGAAATTGCCTGTGTCTGAATGTGCGTATGCTTACTGTATAATTAAACATTTTACCCTGAAAGGACCAATATTTTATATTAGAGAAAGCAATATATATATATATATATATATTACTCAATCATCTGTCCTGGCAAGACATAGCCTTACATATTACACGCGACAATATATGGCGCAGTGACTTATGGGGCTGGCACAATTTTTTTTTCCAGGGCTGCTTTGTATCCCCAGTCGGGCCCTGGGGTTAAGCCATTTAATGCCTCCATCACGCAGAGCGTCCATAGAAAAGCTTTGAAAAATGCTTTCCTATGGACACTTTGAACGCGCGCGGCTCTGCCGCGCATGCACATTACGCTCCGCTGACGTCGGCAGGGGAGGAGAGGTAAGGGAGCCGGCGGTTGAATAAAGTGAGTAACTGAAGAGGTTTTAACCCGTTCAGCACCACGGGAGGGGGACCCCGATTTGTTTTCCTGACACTATAGTGATCCTTTAATGATTTTTTTGGTTAGTCATTTAGACTTTGGTTATTTTGGGGGGGGGGGGTAGTGGGTTAGTAGCTACGAAGGCCTAGCATGTAAGCTCATTGAGCAGGGCCTTCAACCCCTCTGTTTCTGTGTGTCAAACTTGTCTGGTTACAATTATATTTGTTAGTCCACCCGTTGTAAAGCGCTATGGAATTTGTTGACGCTATATAAATATAATAATAATAATATCCATAAATGGTAAGATTTTTGGTTGTACCATGGCTCTTGAGTTTTTTTCTTTCCTCATATAAAGGAACACTGCAGGCCCATCAACTAAAAACGGCTAACCTGGCACTGTGACAAATCCCACCACTCTCAGGCAGGCATGTGACTGACTTGCTTCAGTGGGTGAAAGGTTTTCAAAAAAAAAAAAATACATTATTTTCACTAGACTGAAGATAATGATAAAAACATCTTCTTAACACCACCCACACTTATAAAAGCCGCTACCACCAATGCAATGTATGAACGGGGTGCTTGGGTTACTCCAACTGAACCAGATTTTAAAACTCACAAAGCACAGTTTAGCCAAATATAATCACTGTAGTATCCTATAAATGTCTTCGGTAACAGGATGCTTATACCAGACAAAGGCAGAGCTTAATAAAATAACATTTATTCTGAGCAAAATTAAACACAGTTCATGCATATAAAAAATAGGTTATAAACAAATGTTATATACACCAAATAAAGAGGGAGAAAGTTAACAAAACTCCCTAATACTCACTGTACTAGCAAAGTACATTCTGTCCCAAGAGAGCTTTTGGTAAGGAAAATTGAAATCCACTACAAATTCAATTTAGCTCTCAAAATGAATGACCAAATTCTTCAGGTTTTATCTTTTTTTCTGCTTAGCCCAGTCCTCTTGAGTGGTGGCAACAGGGGGTGCAGAAGTTCCTGTTTTAAGATCACAATGTATTCCAAAAACCTGGCTAGAAATACACAATGTATTATATTTATGTACAGTTTTTTCTGATCTCTGAACAGATCAGATAATTTCTGTGAATCCAGATAATTAGTTTGAGACCAAGTGACTGACCCTTCATTGAACCTACAGTATACATTGTAAGTTTGTTGTGTCTCAACTCTGACAGACTATCTTTAAGGTCCAATGATACATATTACTGGCCTTCAGAAACTAGTCCTGTAGTTCTGTTACATTGATTGGTTTCCATACAGGAAAATAAAACAATAAAATTTCTCTGATTTATGTTTATCTTTCTTTTTTGTGAGATCGAGCATATCTGTACGACTGTCTACGGCAGTGTTTCCTAACCTTTTTTAGTTATGTATGTTTAACACACAACAAACACAGAGCATTCGCCTCCTCCCCCCATGAGTAGTACAGCAGGACTAGGCTGCCCTGGAGTGGCACTGAACTAAAATGCTCGTATTGAAACGTGCATGTGTCATTAGGGATAATATAACATTCTCCCTCTCTGGTCATGCCTTCATTTTGGCTGTAATACATTTAAATGCCTGGGCCAAATTGTTGTCCCAATCTGGACATACATACCTGGACAGGAGGACGAGCTGCCCATAGAAGGGGCATGTCATCCTGGCATAAACACACACCATGCGGAATGACAGTATCCCAGCTCAGGGCTGACTGCTGAAGCTCTCTATCATGGACACAGTGTTGCAGGGCAGGGGTTCCTATTGTTTAGGTGGGAGTTTTACAGGGTACTCATTATTTTGTTATAAAGTGTGTATTTTTTTTTTTTTTTAACATTTTAGCTATATTGAAATTTTGTTTAATAGAAAACCAGGATTTTTGTATTTTTCTACCTGGGTTTGGGCATAACTGGTCAGGGAGGGTAAGGAAATCAAGTCAGTTTCACCCCTGGTTTTGAACAATCAGCGCAGGTGGTTGAAAAGGCATTGGAGCCAGGAAGTCTGAGTTGATTTTTTGTTTTAGAGGGGCTGATGGCTGTTTCAGCAGGAACGCAAGGGGATATGGAAGAAGGACTTAATAGGGAACTGCATATACTGTTGGTGATGCTATTGTGTGCCAATGCCCTGTCTGGTTTAAATAGCCCTGCCTGGCTGCAATAAGATTGGTTCTGCTTTTGACCCCTATTTGTAGTTTCACCTCATGGCACGGGATAATGGCTATAATTACTTACTTTATTCAAATGCTCTAATCATTCGCTATAATTTATCTTCGATTGCTGCTCAGATCGACTCAGAGGGATTCTGAGCGTTCCAGACGGCATTGAGTATTTCAACTCGGTGCAACGATAGCAGATGGTCCAAAAATAGAAGAGAATGCCAAAAAGTAATAGAGGTACTCAGCTGCAATACCAGGAGTCCCTCACATTCTTTCTTCCTGGTCCTAATGGGTATAGCACAAGTTCCTCTATTGATGTAGTCACACTGTGCTGCCTGAGGACTGTTCTCTATTGGGACTGTCCTGCTCAATTATGGACAGTAGGAGGCTTGTATGCATGGGATCATGCAGTGCACTGCTAGTTGGCATTTGGGGCACTAGAGGTCAGATCTATATCTAACCATCTTTTTAATGCAACCTATTCTGAGGACATCATTACTAGATTTATGTTGAGAGGTACACTATGTTGTGGCAGCCTAACGGGAGGTGATCTTGTTGTCACCGCCAAGAACTCCCTTTCCCCCTTGAATAGCCCATTCCCTAAAAATTAGCCAAGGCTTAATGTAAAGGTCAAATAAAACTGTTTTACTGGCGTGAATGGCATACCTGGGCCACCAAGAGAACAATGGACATTACACAGTACCTGTCGCCTAGGTGTCTGTACCTAACCAGATAATTTTACTAGCAGCCGGACACCTCAGCACTGATTAACATTTTTACAGTAAAAATTGGGTTCTCATGCCCACATCCCTAAACCAGTGCCACACCTGGATAGCTCTCCCTGGAGCACCCACTCTGTCCAAAACGTGCTCAGATGGGCGGTGTCTAGCTCAAATAGTCTGGATGTTAAGTTGACCGAGCCATGAGCATCCTTTGATCTAGTGCAGAGGTCCATAGTACTGGGTGAAAAGTCCTGGTCACTTTCAACGATAGTGCTTTTCATTTGTACATTGAGATCCCTCAAGTCTCTGGTACAATTCAATGCCTCACCACCTCCTTTATCACCCCTCCAAATACCGCCCTGGTGTTGCTAGGACCAAGAGCGCTCTTAAAGACATTTTACCAGATCGCTGCAACTTCGCGATCCGATTTGGAATTCCCTCCTGGGCTGCTGAATTGGGGTGCTGAACTGAAAAGCATGGTGTGGAGGGGAATAGGTAGATGATTATAGTTCTTTTAGAGAGGAGGTGGTGGTTGGAAGCCATGTACCCGTACTGGGTAAACAGGTGGTTTGTCACATATGTAAAATAATATTTCTATATATTATATATGTTAGCTGTCGGTTGACCATAGAACATTTATTTGAGTATCTACTGTGAGATTACTGACAAGGTCACACACTAAAGTGAGACATGCTAGGCATTTACAGTACTTAAGTTATTTCCCACTACACTGCCCTATTAATCTGTACTTTTCTGTAATTTAATTATATTGTCATAGAATGGGAAATAGCTAATTTTGAGCTTGTGTGGAAATGAAACTTGGTATTACAACGATACACCCTTATTCATTCTTGTAATATGCAGTACCTTCCACATAAACACATACAAAATTAGCCACACAAACAAAATTAGTCATTCAACTATTTAATTAGATACTGTGCATAATTGTCTATTTACATATATATTTAATTACACACAAACACACACAGTACTCCCAACTTTTTCATTGGGACCTTCCCTATTTTTTGGTCTTGTACTGCCTTCACAATTTCGTTCCCTTGTGTCCCGCCTTTGGGACACCAGGGAATTGTCACTGGGCAGCAAATGATGATGCGCTTGCTCTGTGCTGCATGCACTAGGACCATGCAGAGAGCACTTCAGCAATGTCCTCTGCATGGTCCTATATGTAGGGGGCCAGCCAGGAGAGACTCGGTCAGATGGTCATTGCTAGTGATGCAAGTTGCGCCACTATAGACACCCCCTGAAGACCCGCCCATGGATCACGATTGCATGCCTCCCAATGTTGGGAGGTATGTACAAATACATAACTTGCCACATACATCAACCTAATTAGCTACATGCTTATGCACACATAAAAGTATGTATCATAGACAGCATTAATTGAACACTCCAAGCACCAATCTTGCTGTAGTTGTTATGGTGTCAGGGCCTTGTTTCACAATGTTTTACATTGCAGGATTAAGGGGACAGGCGCACTGCACCCAGACCATCTTAATTAGATGAAGTGGCCTGAGTGCCTATAGTCCCTTTAATTTGACAAATTCATCAATCTTGATAACTTCAAGGGACACTATAGTCACCTGAACAACTTTAGCTTAATGAAGCAGTTTTGGTGTATGGAACATGCCCCTGCAGCCTCACTGCTCAATCCTCTGCCATTTAGGAGTTAAATCCCTTTGTTTATGAAACCTAGTCACACCTCCCTGCATGTGACTTGCACAGCCTTCCATAAACACTTCCTGTAAAGAGAGCCCTATTTAGGCTTTCTTTATTGCAAGTTCTGTTTAATTAAGATTTTATTATCCCCTGCTATGTTAATAGCTTGCTAGACCCTACAAGAGCCTTCTGTATGTGATTAAAGTTCAATTTAGAGATTAAGATACAATTATTTAAGGTAAATTACATCTGTTTGAAAGTAAAACCAGTTTTTTTTTTTCATGCAGGCTCTGTCAATCATAGCCAGGGGAGGTGTGGCTAGGGCTGCATAAACAGAAACAAAGTGATTTAACTCCTAAATGGCAGAGAATTGAGCAGTGAAATTGCAGGGGAATGATCTATACACTAAAACTGCTTTATTTAGCTAAAGTAATTTAGGTGACTATAGTGTTCCTTTCAGCAAGGAATCTGTTCTGTCAATGGATTTTAGTTTAAGGTTGATTTTTTTTATATTTTTCTAAAGGAGGGGCCCACATTAATCTAATTATTAATATAATACATATGAATATAATGCAATAAATACAATATAAAGGAAAACTAAAGTGACACTCCACTGCACAAATGGACAAAAAAAAAGCAGGCAAAAATGCTTTTGGAGTTTTGAGTGGTCTTTAGATAGAAAAACAATATATATTTTTTTAATCATGTTCCTTTAAATTCTTTATAGATTCAATTTTATTTCCATGGCTGGCTAAGCACATCAAGTACAGCATGTAAATGAATTAACCGCTGCAATGCTGTACATGGAGATTGTGCACCTACAAAACGCCAAGCAATCATGCGCTCATATGCAATTTTTACATAGGTATCCAAGTGGGCACAAGGCATCATGGGACAACTCAGTCATTGGAATGAGGATTTATCTCTGGTAAGTGTTTTACTTACCCTTTGCTTTATTCACTCCATTAAATGTTGCAGTAGTGTTTACTGGGATAAAGAAACAAGGAACTTATTCTTATTGCGAAGTGATGGTTTCTTTATTATAAAGTGATGGTTTCTATATTTAGAAATCTACTATTATATACTATTTGTTAATGTGTTACAATCCACTGAGTGCTAATGCTCCCAATTTATTGTCAGCAAGTGTATTTGTGAAGCCAGAGAAGGCCCACGGTTACAGATCGAGAAATACGTTGATTTAAAAAAAATCATGTAATGCTTCAAGAAGAGGCACTAGACATCATGACTGCAGCACATATGAGGTCATTTCCTGTTTTCTTGCTGTCTCATGGTCCGTTCTCGGCTAACCATGCCTCAATGCCAACGTCATTGGATGTTAATGTACATAATCCAAAACCACAAATTCCTAGACTTTATATCACGCCAGAAGATATATTACTTTTAGTAAGATTATGGAGTTGCTACAGCCAG